CCCCCCAATCCCTTCAACCCCACCCTCCTAATTCCTCCCACCACCACCACTCCCATTTTTTAAAAGATCACTTTAGACACGTTAAACATTTAAAGTATTACTGGAGGCGTTTATTACCGTCATGTAGAGAATTCATTAAGAATGCTGCGGTTGTGCTTCTTGCAGGCTGTGCTGTGCTGCAAGCGGGCTTAGTGTTTTTTTGACCCTAAAGCAGGGGTGTCAAACTCAATTTAATCGTGGGCCGCATCAACATTATGGCTGCCCTCAAAGGGCCTGTAAGACTACTATATAAATCTATCTAGTCTTTATCATAATTGCCTCTGCATTCGATTATCACTGGTTTTAGTAATAACTTAATACCTAGATCTGAAAGTAGAAGGCTAGGAAATGGCCTGATGGGCCGGATTCGGCCCCTGGGCCTTGAGTTTGTGCCCTAACGCATTCTCTGAATTAAAGACAAAATGCCCAGTAGCTTTCTATAACCCCCACACTTACCTATGGTCTCGTCTCCTCCTCTGGGCCAAAATACCCTGCTTTCCCCAAACTTCTTGGTCCAGGGGGAGGGTACTGAGGGCAGAGGAGCCATAGGTATGGCTTGCTGCATGGTGTGTGTGTCTAAGGGCGCACACAGCTAGGTGCAGGAACATGGATGTCTCCTCAGCAGCCAGCTCGCTAATGGAGACACCCACATATGGGGGGGCGGGACTGGAGAACAAGGAATTAAAGTTGAAATTAGAAACAAGAGGCAGTTCAAGCAAATCTGGCCCTCAACCATAAAGAACAAAAAGTGAAGGGTTTAATGTCACTTTAAATCCAACATGTGACATTGTGGGTCCTTCTTGTTCTCATCAGACGCCAGCGGCGCTTTCTCCTTAACAAAACGGCTCTTATGTTGGGACACAAGCACTGTTCTGTGCAACAGTACCGTGAAATCAGGCCAGCAAGATGATGCACCCCTGAGGGGTGTGTGTCCATGACTGCCTAGACTCACAGGAAGTGGGCTGAATGATGCCCAGGGTCATTTAACCTGGAAGGCAACTGGCACGGAGCCCCGGGCGATGGAGGAGGCGGCGAGTATAGCAGCATAAGCTGCATTTTTTTTTTCACAGCTCATTTAAATTCCTGACGATGGGCTTAAAGGAACACTATGGCCAAACCTTTTTTGGCAGTACTTCACTTTAGGGTCACAGGAGGACATTTACTAATGACCCTAAACTCAGCATACAGCAGGCTATTGGCAGAGCCAGCTGTGCCCGCCCCCTTCCCTGTCTGTACCTCCAATGAGCGCTGGAAGAATGGAGAGGGGAGGAGGTATTCCTTGCAGGGAACGATGACTGGCGGTCGCCACTCTTTGCAGGGACATGATCGTGAACTGAGCGATCAGCGGTTTGTGATCACTCATAATTCTCAACAGAACGGACGTGTGACGGTTTCAGCGTCACATGACGGCTTTACCTATGAGGAGGAGGAGTTTATTTCACTCTCCCCATAATTCTCCTTTAAATATTTATCAACTGTTTTCAAATAAATTATGAATTAGGTAAACTCCCAACTGTCAAGGATCCTTCAAACACATGTTCCCTTTAGGCCCCATTCACACTGAGCGACTTGTCGCGCGACTTTTTCCTATTGGGCTGCATGCAATCAGGAGCGAAATCGCTCGAAAAAAGGGTCATGTAGGAGCGACAAGCTACAGCGATGAGCTACAAGCGATATTGAGCAACGAGATGTGAACAGCTCCATTGAAATGGATTGGAGAAGCTACATAGAGCGATATCGTGTGGAAATATGAGCGCTATCGCTGCAAAAAATCGCTCAGTGTGAATGGGGCCTGAACCTCACACCAAGGACGGACCGGAGAACACAGGAGCGTCCCTCACCTCCTCAAAACATTTTTGGTTTTCGGCACACATTGAGACCTTGCTTTGGCTGCTTCCGCCATCTTTCTTTCCGCTGCTTTGCGGCACGGATGGTGGTGGCGGAGGCTCCTTAGATAGACTTTCCTTCACTTCCGGGGAGCGGGATGAATTTTCCTTCACTTCCGGGGAACGGGATGAATTTTCCTTCACTTCCGGGGAACAGGATGGTCCTTCCTCATCATCCCCATCGTCCAGCACAATGATTTCAACCACATTGGCCATCTTTCCACCTTCAGAATCTCAAGGACTGAGACAGTTCTGCGTGAGCATGGCAGGCCGGGGGGAGGCGAGAACCAGTCCCAAGCTGAAAGAAAAAAAACCACAATGTAAAAATGAATTCATATTTATACTGCTGCATAACAAACATGGTGAGAAAATGGAGCCTGCGTGGCCCCTGAAAGTCACCATCTTTTTGACAATATTCGTCCATAAAGGACATTTTTACGCACATCCAGGTGTGCGGATGACATCTTGTTTATGGACTGATTGGAGCGGCGCCATCCGCAGTCATTTCAGCACCCGACTGATATATGTGTTTACTGGTAAGTAGGGCTGCAACCAACTAATCGATAATGAGAATAGTTGGTTGGATCCCCTAGCTCTCTCCTCCTTGCTGGGAGGAGGGCACAGCAGGCAGTTGGCGGGTGCAATTGTCAGTCTGCTATTGGCTATTGCAATTTGAACCCCAAACACATCTCCCACCCACAGTGTGAGGTTCCAGAATGCCACTAGCACACCATTGATCAAGTGAAGTTAATCCATTTTCCAACTAATTGGAAGCCGATTAATCGATGATTGAAAAAGTTGACAACTTTTTCAATAAATCGATTATAATCGATTATGTCGATTAGTTGTTGCAGCCCTATTAATGTCCATTATCAGTGGTGGGCTTGGAGCTGGCTCTCCAGTGGCCCTCACGTTAATCCAGCCCTGAGTGCGGTGGGATACATATGGGACATGCTAATAAAAAGGTCACATCCAGCCAGAGATATTAAACTGTAGGCAAACCATAAATCTACCGTACGCCATCACATCTCACTGCATCGTTTTTTTTAAAGGTGAACTCCGGGCACAAACAATGAGATATATTCCTCAATAGCCATAGAGGATATAAACCCACTTTGTGTGCACCAAACGCCATTACAAACCCAGATATTACTTCATAAAGTAGCAGTGACATCATCACTGTGCTGTATAAACTGCAGAGCTGTGGGAGGGACCTAGAAGGCCCCACCCACTATTAGAAGCTAGAGAAGGGGGCAGAGACAAGGCCAGTCACCCTACACAAGGAGAGAGCGTAACAGCGAGCGGTCTTTATTACGGAAGTGGGCGGAGACAAGACCAGTCACCCTACACAAGAGAGAAGCAGTGGCTGGTCTTTATTACGGGAGGGGGCGGAGACAAGCCGAGTCACCCTGCACAAGGAGAGATGGCAGCAGTGACCGGTCTTTATTACAGGAGGGGGCGGAGACAAGACCAGTCACCCTGCACAAGGAGAGAGAGCAGCAGTGAGCGGTCTTCATTACAGGAAGCTCCAAACCTCACACTGGATTGCTGTACAGATCAGGAAGAATACACGGGACTCTTGTATGACGACAATATTTGCTGATCCCGGTTTCAGATATGTTTAGTTAAGTCCAATGAAATGTAAAAGTGACGATCACATGACAGAGTACAGAGTGCTTCAGGAGGATGTTACAACTCTGAACTGAACACTCAATGTATTATAATAATCCTCGAGGACTAAATACGCAGTGCCGAAAAAATTGCACCAAGGTGAACACCACTGCTCCCATTGTACCCCCTTTCCCCTCCCTGTCTGCTTTAGCTACAAGCCCCATCATGCCTCTGCTAGTCGTGCCTGTGGCCATCTTGCAATGCCTCAGAGTGTTCCTTGTAGTTTCCCAACAGCTGGAGTGCAGAGGTTGCCCACCCTTGTATTAGTCTTAGGCCTAGACAATTCTCAGCACTCCAGCTGTGACAACACTACAAACCCCATCATGCCACTTAGTTTCAGGCACCACAACTGGAGGCGACAAACAATGAAGTGTCACCGCCGGTCCTATGTCTGCCCGCATTCCTTACATTTAGAGGCACATTGCGTTGCGGGCGAAGCTCACCTGTCACGAACACCGCAGCTGACAACTAAATCTCCGCACCGGATGCTCTCCGCCGTAAAGTACCGCCGAACGGATACGGCGCCCTCTTCCACTGCCCGTCTAGGCTTCAGGGGGGGGAGAGAGAGAGAGTTCCGTTTCCGCTTCCGGGAAGCGAGCGAGCCGAGCGCGCGCAGTGACACATAGAGAGGAGCCTCAAAGGGGGCTAAAAGGGGCGTGGCCTGAGAGCGCTCTCCCGCCGCTTTGGCGTGCGTTGCCGATGGTTATGGTTAACGGTTCACGTAGTTTCCAGTCAGGCTGCCCGTAGCTGCCAGTGCTGATTCTGTGTGTCACGTGATTAAAAAAAAAAAGAAATCAGCGCCCGATATCATCTAAATGTGGATTCTACAACAAATAGAGTTCCTAGTCGGTGTAATAAAGCAGTATTCCTATGTATTATTATACAGGGCTGGGTTGGACAAACGCTGGGCCCACCAGCTGTGGAACTACAAATCCCATGAGGCATTGCAAGCGTCTCACTGCCAAAGGCGTGAGTCCCAGAGGCTGTTGCATCATGGGATTTGCAGTTTCACCACAGCTGGAGTTTGGCAATCCGTGAAAACGCATCCGTTCGGTGAAGACTACCGTATTCCTTTCTCCATCAACTCATGCCTTACCTTTATATCCCCCTTTAGTTTGAAAGCTCTCAGGGTCAGAGCCCTCTTAATGAAGCAGGGGTAGGCAACCTTGGCACTCTGTTGAAGCTACAAATCCCATAATGCCTCTGGGAGTCATTCCTAAGGCTGTCAGAGTCTTGCAATGCCTCATGGGACTTGTAGTTCCGCAATAACCGACATTGCCTACTCCTGTTATAAGGGAAGACTGTACAGTTAATATACAATTCAAGACAATAGGGCGGAGAGGGCTTTGTTTCTGAGAGCTTACAATCTAAAAGGGGAGGGGCCAGTGGTACAACGGTAACAAATGTGTCGGGATGAGTTAATGAAGAAAAGAAACCGTTCAATTTAAGGAGGAGGTCGGGTTACGCTTCAATGAAGACGGGGGCGTCCTGAGGCCGGTGTCACCCGGAGCGGAGACCAGGTGACACCCTGCTGTGACATCATCACGCACGCGTGGTCATCTAAATGTCGCCTGCCGGCGGCCATCTTGGTGATGGGCGCCGGCAGAGAGAGGAGGGGACGTTCCACCGCCGGGATGAGGTATGCCGCCAGGTCCCCTCCTCTCTCCTGACACTGTTAGGCTCTCGGTCCGTGACGGAGTGCCTGACTTTTTAGAGGCCACTGCTGAAGAAATTTGTTTTCAGGGATTGCCAAACACCGGCCCTCCAGCTGTGTTGAAACAACAAATCCCATGATGCATCTGTCTCTGGGAGTCATGCCTGTGCAGTGAGAAGCTTGCAATGCCCCATGGGATTTGTAGTTCTAGAGCTGGAGGACCCAGCGTTTGTCCAACTCCAGTCCTGTATAATAATAAAAAATAGGAATACTGTTTTATTATACCAACTGGGACCTATATTCGTTCCAGAATCCATATTTCGATGATACCAGGTCGCTGATTTCTGCCAGAGTCTTGCAATGCCTCATGGGACTGGTAATTTCATCACAGCTGGCGTTCTGAGGTTGCTTACCTCTGACAAACCGAATGGAGGCCGAAACATCCCCAGCGCTTCATGTCAATGAATGGGATGACGCGCAGCGATGCGCGTTCACATGTGTGCAAGTGTGACCTGGAGCTTAGATTGTAGGCTCTCGGGGTCAGGGCCCAACTCTTGTCTAGAATTGTATTGTAATTGTACCGCCTCTCTATTATTATACAGGATTTATATCGCACCAACAGTTTGCACAGCGCTTTACAATATAAGGAAGACATTACAATACAATTCAAGACGGTAAGGACGGCCCTGCCCCTGAGGGCTTACAATCTTAGGCCCCATTCACACACAAATCGGCCGACATGTACAGCTCCGTGCACGGCCGTACCAAGCAGCTCCCGGGAAGGACAGGTGCTGCGCCCCGCCCTTCTCTATGGGGCTACACGGCCGTACGCCCCCCCTACGCTCACCTCAACTGCAGGTCCGTAGGGGTGCGAGTTTTCTAAGCCGGGGCGCATACAGGATCCATTCCAGCAGCGTATGAATACGCTCACCCCCACGGACACGCAGGGCGGGCCAGCGTAGGGGGACGTACGGGCGTGTTGCCCCATAGAGAAGGACGGGGGCTGCGTACTAGTCACACGCAGCACTTGTCCTTCCTGGCAGCTGCTTGGCACGGCCCCGCACGGAGCTGTACGTAAAGGCCGATTCGTGTGTGAACGGGGCCTGAGGGGGAGGTGATACATGAAGAGGTAGCTGTGTGGGGATGAATTATTTGAGAATGTGATGGTTGAGCTGTTAGGTTGAGGTGGGATAGGCTTCCCTGAAGAGATGAGTCTGAAGGGATCGCCTAAAGGCAGTCAGTGTGGGAGATAGTCAGACAGGTTGGGGTGGAGAGTAGACGTGCGCCGGCAAAAAAAGTTGTTTCGTTTTGATTCGGATTTTGCGTTCTCGTTTTTCAAGATTTGGGTCTGAAAGTCAATCCGTTTCGGGATTCGGATGAAATTAGTTAGCGGTAGTCTACGAAATTTCTTTTTGGTTCGTTCGTTCGTTGCAGCAAAGTGACATTTGAGAGGGGGGGGGGGGGGATTTTTTTTTTAATCAAATGTCACTTTGCTGCAATGAAATTTCATCCAGACTATCGCTAACGAATTTCGGGAATTCGGATTCGTTTGCAATCGTTATATCTGTAATTCGGAATTTGGATACATCCGAATCTCCGAAATTTCGATTCGGAATGAAAAGAATCGCACATGTCTAGTAGAGAGTTCCAGAGGATGGGAGAGACTCTAGTGAAGTCCCGGAGGCGAGTATGGGAGGAGTTGATGAGGGAGCTGGAAAGCAGGAGGTTTTGGGAGGAGTGGAGGGGGTGGTTAGGGTGTGAAGAGTTGTGGATGGCTTTACAAGTGGTTGTTAATATTTTGAATGTTATCCTTTGGGAGATGGAAGTCAGTGTAGGGATTGACAGAGGAGGGTGGGGGATGGAATGTCAGAACTATTTGGGGCTACAACGAATTAAACTATAAGGCCTATACATATTATTCTACACATTGGGCATCCTGGAAGCCATCTTTGTTCTGCCTGTTATATCAGTATATGAGGTGAAGGAGAGTTCATGGTTTCTGGACAAAGACTCCAACATCAGCGATTCTCAGAGCCTTACCACATACATTGTGGAGGGATTGGCAGAGGGGGGTGGATGCCAGTGGAGGGATTGGCAGAGGGGCGGGGGATGGAAGCCATTGCAGACACTGAGCGGTTGGTTAGGTGGATGAGTCTAGCAGCAGCATTCATGATAGACTGAAGGGGAGGAGCCTGTGTAGTGGTAGGCCAATGGAGGAGGGAGTTACAATAGTCAATACGAGAGATAAGAGAGTGGATGAGTAGTTTTGGAGGTTCCATTGGTGAGGAAGGGGCGTATTTTGAAGATGTTAGGAAGATGAAGGCGGCAGGATTTGGATAGGGATTGGATGTGGGGGAAGAAAGATGAGGTCCGGGATGACACCTAGCCATGGGGGAAGGGAGGGCTAATTGTTTTATCAATCTCGATGGAAAATTTGGTGGGAGGAAATATCAGGCGCTCGGTTTCTGAAAGATTGAGGCTTTAAGTGTTGCGACATCCAGACTGATAGGTCAGTTATAAATAAGTGATGCACAGGGACACAGGAGGGATGAGCCGAGACAGATTTGAGTGTCATCGGCATAGAGATGGTATTGGAAGCCATGGGAGGTGATCAACTGTCCCAGGGAGGAGGTGTAGATAGAGAAGAGGAGGGGTCCAAGGACAGAGCCTTGGGGGACCCCTACAGAAAGAGGAAGTAGATTTGTAGGTGACACTAAAAGGAGCGCTTAGATAAGTAGAAGAAACATGAGAGCAGAGTCTTGTCAGCCAAGAGAGTGGAGTTTTTTGAGGAGGGGCATGTGGTCAACCGTGTGAAAAGCAGCAGAAAGGTCCAATAGCAGAGTAAGGAGTAGTGAACATTTGGCAGTCAGCAGGCCATTATTGACTCTTTGGAGGGCAGTTTCAGTGGAGTGTTGTGGGCGAAAGATGAAGGCAGGGGTGTGCATCTCCGGTCCTCCAGCTGTTGTGGAACTATAAGTCCCATGAGGCAATGCAAGGCTGACAGTTAAAGGCATGATGGGATTTGTAGTTAAAGCACAGCTGGAGGGCCGGAGAGATTAGAAGCCCTGTCAACTTTTTATTGCCGTGTCTCCTCATTAAGAAGACTCGCCCTCTCTATGTGTCTTGGTGACGCATCACCAAAAATGAAATTTGGAGCTCATACAGAGACCTGCGCACTACAAGAACATTATTGGGACACAGAAGTGGATCCAGACACTTATAAACCACGGCAAATTTATTTACAATAACAACTCACACGCATATTTACAAATGTACACGCATCCATAAAAATTCATGACCATAGGCAGGTTGCCCTTGAAGCTGTCGCAATACACATGAAAAGAATATATATATAAAAAAAATCCTAAAACAGTAAAAGTCTCGTTCAATGTTCAGTAGCCGAACCAACCAGAGCCGAGTACACAACGATGTCCATGAGAGATGAATTCTGATTGGTTGGTGTAGGTTTCCATATGTCCCCCATTGGTTAATCCTGGATATTTATAGTTAGACAATAACGATTTATACAAGATTAAAAACGCGCGGTAACAGCGGCATAAAACGTGCGCATACAATATGAGGCGATTTCTATTCTGCCACAGACATAGGAAGCGGTCTTTTCATAAGACAGGTTTACTTTAAATGCTCGGCGATGGTCCCGGGTACAATAAATATACATATTTTTTTTTAAAAAGAAAGAAAAGAAAAGAGAAATGTTCTTCTGTAGTTGAGAAGACGGGCAGATTATTTTCGGTTTGCCCGAGCTGTGCCGATCACACATTCGTTCACCTGAAACGAAAAATAAAGTCACATTACTGGTTAAAGTGTACGTCCGGGCATGACCCCCATTTACCCCCCAAATCTCCCTCTTTCCTCTACAGCATGTCCCAGAATTCATTTTATTTAACTCTTTTTTTCCCTTGTAGCAATACACAACTTTATTATTCCTGGAGACATCAAAACCAGGCTTGCTAATTACTGAACTACATCCCCCCCAGAACCATCCTCCCCCACACACACACACAATGTGAGCAGGCACATAGGAGTCAATGCAGCAAAATTGCAGAGCTCAGAAGAAAATTGGAGTGTATGTGGAGAGGAACAGACAGGGGTGAAGTTCTTTAGTCCTGCTGGAATGGCTGACAACACTGCTTGGCATTTTAGAGCACAAAATGCACTGTGGTTTCAACCCAAACAGGAAGTTAGGCACATGCTGGATTTCCATCAGATCATATCTCTATATCCCAATTAGAACAGTTGTAAATTGTAATGTTCACGAGGATGCCCCCCTCCCTCCCCCTTCAAAATAAAACCCCATATCTACAGAAATATCCTGATTACAACAGAGGCTCTGAGGTGACATGTTAAAAGCATAGGCCCCATCTTTAAAAAGTTTGTGTATATATATATATATATATAGCATTTATTAAAATGATTGCATGAAAGCCTGCAGAGCATTGTCACAGGTGCAATACACAGGTTGCTGCATCGTTTACCATCCACAGGTCTGTGCAGAGGTATGGACCATGGGCCAGGAGGAAGTATACAATGGACTAAAATGATGGGCAGGAGGCTGTAAACAATGGACTACAAGCGTGGTGACATCACCACAGTTCTGGCACGACCTGTGAGCCCATCTACCACGGTGGCAGATGGGACTTGTAGCCTTTCCATTCAAGGATCTCTGTGAATGGATGAAGCACAGCCATGCTAAACTCAAACAGGACATCCCAGGGAGAACAGCATGCAATTCAGGTAGGTGGTAGTGTTTTGAGGGTGTAAACATGCACATGCCAGTTTACATCCGATTCCCCATGCTCCTGATAGAACAGAGCAAAAGGGGCCTTAACTGAACTAAGTATCACAATACCCGTCCCAGCGACTAGAAGGCAAACACTGATTGATGACTTTCTTACCTTGCTGGCAAAACGTAAAGAGTTCAGAGATTCTGTAAAGTTTTCCTCCAAAGGAGAAATGTTCACAAACATCAACCTGGAACAGAGGAATAGAATGATAAGCTTCAGCTTTATATCATTATTATACAGGATTTATAGAGCGCCAACAGTTTGCGCAGCGCTTTACAATATAAGGAAGACATTACAATCACAATACAATTCAAGACAAGATGGTAAGGAGGCCCTGCCCCTGAGGGCTTACAATCTAATTGTTAAATGCTAGAAAAGCTACCTGGAATAAAGATTAAATCAAATAAATAAAAAAAACCTACACTTTTGAGTTTCCTCCCAAGCTGTTCTGCAGGAGATAAGTCAGTCTGCTGTTTCTATAAGGTATATGCGAGTCCTGTAAGAAAGTAATGAGAAAGGTCACCCTGGAGTGTAACTCTGAACACATTCTTATTTAAGGGCCCATCCACACTGGTTCCGTTGCGATCAGTTTTTCAGCTGATGCCAACGGAAGAGCACCGAAAAATGAATGGGTGTGGATGGGGCTAGTTCACACCGCTCCGTTCTGGTGCGCTGACCAAAACAAAAACCATGCATCTTTTTTCAGCGCAACGGATCCGGTGTGAACCAGCCCCATTCATTTTCTGGTGCCCTTTTGTTAGCATCCGCTGAAAACTGATTGCAACGCAATGGAACAGAAAGTATTCGAAAGGTACAATTGCAAGTCAACTTGTGATTCCTTGGGTGTGAATGGGCCCCAATTAAAAGAAACTCCAGCTTTTTTTTCTCCATTTTTAAATGAAAAAAAAAATCCTAAAAAGATCTAAAACAAGGTAGATTTTTGTTCAACACTTACCTTCTGTCCAAAGCTACCCTGCCACAGTAAATTTCCACCACCAGATGTTACCAGTCTTTCAGCAGGAACAGGGTGGGAAAACTCTGGCCCTCCAGCTGCTGTAGAACTACAAATCCCATGAGGCATTGCAAGATTCTCACAGCCACGACTACCAGAGACGCATGCATCATGGGATTTGTGGTTTCACCATAGCTGTAGGGCTGGAGTTTGGCCACCCCTGAGGTGGCATGACCCACTTCCATTCAACTCACTTCCCCTGAGCCAAGAGCGCCATGGCCAACCCGCTCCTGTGAGTGCATCATAACGCTAGCCTGGGCTCAGAATACGAATGCACTAAATGGCTCTCATGTCATTCCATGTTGGATGTTCAGTGTATGGGCATGGACTGCCACCTGCTGCAGGAGAAGAGATAGAACCCCTGACATCACCAGATAGGCCAGAAGAAGATCTTAGAAAAATGTCAGTCTCTGTATACACACACACACGCACTTTTTCACGGCCGAGGATTGACTAAAACAAATGTCTGCTTTAATGGCAACGCGTTAAATAAAAGCAGACACTGACATGTACACAGGGCACGCAGATTTAAAGGCCCAATCACAGCAACACTGCATGTACTTACTTTGTTGCACAGAGAGGTGATCACCATGCCCAGGGTGGACAGTGATGTGTTAATGCTTTGCGTTTCCTTTAATCGATCGCCAGTTGATAGTGACCGGTCCAGGCGCTCACTCCCCGCAAGATCAATCAGGCTTAGGACAGCTAGGGAGATAAATGCACGAGTGATTGTCTAACATGGGAAAATGGTTTACACTGAAAAAATAAATCAAGAAGGCCGATAAAAATATTGCTACACCGGGGTGGCAGCAAGGCTAATTTTTTTGTTGGTAATACCCAGAATTCAGCTTCGAGTTTCTCTAGCACTGTACACCAGAGCTCAGACTGGGTGGGGAGTGGGCGAGCGGCGGAGAGAGCAAGCGGGTGGGAAAGAGCGTGCGCGCAGGAGAGGGCCCGCGAGAGAGAATGAATCAGTAAAAGGAGCCAGTTGGTTGTGCTGATCATGTGTCAATAAGGGATATGATGACAGGTGAAGAGACAAGACCTGCAAGTTTAACTGCAACTGAGGAAAATCAGGTCTCCTGGCCTGTCACAGAGGGCTGTATTGTGTGGCTCTGCTGTGTAAATCTGAGAACCGGATGGACAGAAATGCAAATCTTTTTGGCAGGTAAAACATTGCACGATATTCTAATTATTCGAGTTTCACCTGTATATGCATTTCATTTGGGTACAATCTGGCTGGAGTCCAGCTTTAGGTACATTTTGATTCCCAAGGCCAACTCGGTATTCCTAATCTCCGCAGAAACTTACACGATGTATGGACATCTCTCAGCTTGTTTTCGCCCTCAATTTTCAGCTGAAACACACTGTGGCTACGAGACGACCGGTCATTTAGCGCAGTTTTAGCCACAGAGCGATGGGTTTTAGCCGCATGGAGAAGGTCATGTACCTGAGATGAGAAAAATAAATAAAAGAGTTTAGATTTGTGGGAGCTTACAGAATTCTCACGGGCTTCAAAAAAGGCTCATTATGCAAAGTGCCGATCACCAGCACTCGCAGAGTTCCAAGTGTGAATTGTTCGTTCCTCTTTTTGAGTAAAACGGCGCCATCTGTGTTCATTACTGTGAGCACCATGACTCTAAAAGGTCATAACGCTGTGGAGTGCAGGTGGTCTACTACAACACTCATTATGCACCAAACTTATAAAAAAACAAAAACAAACACCAATATTTTCCTAAGTAGGCAATTCATACAATGTTTAAGGTTGAAGTTGATGGACCTTTGATGTTGAAGTTGATGTTTAAGGTTGAAGTTGATGGACCTTTGATGTTGAAGTTGATGTTTAAGGTTGAAGTTGATGGTCTTTATTCAACCTCAAATACTATGCAAGATATTCTATTGCAAATTAAAATGCAAACTAGACAAAACTTTTTTTTTATTTGTAGTTTTAGATAGATCACCTTTGTCCTGATGGAGGTTATCACTGAAAAGGAGTAGATGGGAATCTTCCAATGAGGACACTTTCTGGTGACCCTGTTGACCACCAAGAATTGCCCTCATTTGCTGTTGTGGCTCTTGACAGGAAGTGAAATCACCTCAATGGGAAACAGATGGCAAAAAGAGGCTGACAGGGGTTGTAGTCCTCCCTTACTCAATCCAAAACGAACAGAATTAGCAGCTGCAAAATCAACTGCGTTGCACAGAGGAAACATGAGAGCCTATTGTTGAGCTAAAGTGCGGTCAGATATAAAAGATACAAATTAATTCAGACTTACCTCCTCTACACTAGAGACCTCCACGTAGCGCAGGTTGGTGACGTAGACTTCATTGCTGGTGGTATTCACTTTGCGGATCTCGTACTCATGTTTCTTATCGGGCCGGTTCGCCAGCAGATCTCGGATCGACTCGTTATAGATTTCCAGGAAACTGGCTGTAAATTTGTACTGTGGGAATGTAAAAAGCAGATCGTGAAAAGGTTGAAATAGACACTTAGGTGCCGATCACCTTCACGCACAGCCTGTGACAACTCTCACCTCCCAACCCTTTGTCTTCAGCTCCGCTGCACTGCTGAAAATCTGCCGGATGGCCCGAGGGATCATCCCCATTGTTTCCACAGAGACGTTATCTGGACCCTCCATGGTGTAGGTTTTCCCGCTGCCGGTCTGTCCGTATGCAAATATGCACACTGGATATCCGTCAAGGGCAGACTAATTAGGGGAAAGGATAGAGTAGTCAGCAGATGGAACCGGGGCAAAATATACAATACAGGAGGATGGCAGAGTCTAGATCTACCTGGACCAGCAATGAAATCTCCTCGAACACGGCTGCCTGGCCAGTGGTCGCTGGAAAGATGCAGTCAAAGTTGAAGTCATATTTCACAGACTGGCTCTTTTCTCTGCCAATGTGGGACTGGAAAATATATTTAAAAAAAAGGATATAAATTGAATGCTAGGTTCCTAAAATCATACATTCAGATAACCTATAAAGTTCAGTTAAACATACGTGTGCAGGGTAAAGGAGAACGTTTACAAAAGCCAACTGGCCTTTAAATCGTGGCTTGCCTTCTTTGATATAAAATACACATTGTGTGGAAGTTTCTTTTCTATATTCCCCCATCTCCGAATGCAGACAGGACAATTGTATACTTGTGTTCACACAAAATCCAGCAATCATACCTTCCGCATGAACCCATCCAGTTCCTATTTAGTGTACTCATGCTGTGACCCCCATTCATTCCAGCTTGGAGTGCAGCTATTCCCACAGGAATGAACGGGGCCACGGTGCACAGTTTGAAGAGAAGCTGGCCAGGTCCATATGTATTACAGCTAATGGCAAGTTAAAAACTAAAGCTGCTTACACTGGGAAAAGGGGAGGGAGAGGGGCTGTGGTAAAGGACAACGTTACCAAAGGAAAAACTCTACTCCAGGGAAAAATCTAAGTATGCAGTTAAAACTGACTGTTTAACCTGCAAAAATGATTTGTAATTCTGTTCAGTGTGACTGCCATTGAGACAACACTGCCAGACAGCAGAGCCAGGTCCAGTATCCATCCCACCTTGTGGCTCGGCAAAGATGAAGAGCACATTGATGAGGTCATCCCTCTACTCTCCCTTACTGTAAAGAGGTCACAGTGTTGGAGCTTGTTCAGATGGGCAATTGCAGTGATCTTTGAGATTCATTTTGCTTGCACTTGAGAAGTTTGAGACACTTCCAAGTTCTACATAAAATTCCATTGCAGGGGCATTCGACTTCCTAGGCAGCTTCAAACTACTTGTGCATTCCCATAAACTTCTATGGATTCTGATGCAAACAAAATACTTATCGACTCAGGCCCTTAGACCGATAGCACTCTGCAAAGTGATAGAGCTCCGACTGGCTAGATGTTGACGTGCGATATGCCGACGTGTAGGAAGCGGATTTAAAGAAAGTACATTTGAGATACCAGGAGCAGTAATACGAGCTGGCATAAGGAAGCAAGGAAAAAAGGCAGAAGAAGGTTTTGCAAACATGCTTCCTTTAGCTGGATATATTAATGGAGCGAAGTGTGATGGAGTACTCATATCCTTTAAGTTACAGAACCCCATACATTAATAGAAACAGGAGCCCTTGACATGATATACATTTTGCATTGCATTGTCTCACCTCCTCCACCTTTGTTAAAACAATGGCCTTCTCATCATTAGGAGGGAAGATGAGATTTCCAGCAGGAAGGTTCTTCTCAGTTTGGAGGATGGGCCTCACTCTGCAAAACACACGTATATTGCCCTGTGATGGGGAGAAGAAAAACCAGTCAGGAGATGCACAACATACTATGTAGACCAGTCTTTCACAACCCTGGAAGCCTAGGGTTCCGCCAGAGGTTGCCAACGGTTCCATGAACAGCGACCGCTATGATCTCATAAAAGGTAGCTGCATAATTCTAACACCAATTACACTTGGCAACCAGCGATACCGGACTAGGGGAGCTTCTCCTCCCATTTCTCAGATAAGTGACCAATGTTAACAATGATCAAGTTAGAGGTCTTTAAGGGGCATTCTTTACCGCTCACCACCAACGCAAGGGGGCATTCTTCCCCACTGACCACCAACGCAAGGGGGCATAGACCAACTACAATCATAAAGACCATTCTTTCCACTGATCACCAATGTGAGGGAGACCTTCTCACAATGACCACCTATATGGTTTGGCCTATGTACAGAGTTTTAGCAGGGGTTCCAGGAGACCCGATTATTTTAGGCCGATGTAGAAACTTCTGAAACAAGCAGAATTACTATAGATAGGGACGGGGCTTACCTTTAACTCCTGGATGGTGTTATGTAACCTCCTCCGGTCAGTCTCCAGCGTATGCACTTGCATATCTCTCTCTTCCACGGTACGTTTCAGGGAAGAGATCTCCGCACTCTGATCACTCACAAGTGTTTTCAGTCTGGAGTTCTCCCTTTCCAGACAAATCAGTTTTTGCTAAATGAGTAGAGGAAGAAAAAAAAAAAAAAAAAACAAGGACTGTGACTTGCCTATAGATTATCAATTCCCTTGAAAACCTCCTAATAAAACAAAGTTTCAGATCCTGTAGCTGGCAGCTTATGATGCTATATCCTCACTGGGAATACCACCCCTCTGTTTACATTGTTTCTGCATGTGCAGCTTAGGCACAGTGGTGCTTCATATACATTTTTCCTAGGTAAAAGAATCTTTGCAATTATATCTCATCTGACCCAAGAGCAAGAAGTCAATCAGAAAAATTTAGATTCACAGACTGAGAAAAACAATGAAATTAGTTCCCGATGTGCATTTCTTAATTTATCTTCTTAGTGTTGGTGGCTTAGCAGGATATGAATGACTAAGTTGAAATTCCTCTTTAAAAGGTAAAGTCTATTAAAGCTGAACTTCACAATTAAAAAAAAGAAGAAAACCCCTGCAGTGTCACCATGCCCCCCACCCCCTCCCAACAGCAAGGGTTAAATGCTTGTGAAGTCTAAGGGTAGAAGAATAATTTGTATCCCTTTAATATCTATAATAGACTTCAAGTGCTTATCTCTTTTCTCTCAAGGTTGTGGTCGGGCTTTCACATACAATGTGACTATTGGTCCCTGCATTGTGTGTGATGACGTCAGACCCCCGGCCAGGGGACCTAAGAACAGACGCATCGAGGGACCGGTTGCACAGCATGGAGGAAGATAGACGAAGTGAGGAATAAGTTAAGTATTAGCTGTTAGAAACTGACTGAACTATGAGAAGGAATTACATTCACAATCAAAGCTAGAGAGACGAATGAGGACCTGCTTAACCCCTTCATGACTGAGCTTGTTTTTGGTTTCTGTTCGTAAATGACTGACACACTTTTGACATTTTTGCTGTGTGATTCTTCCACGTCAGTAATATATTTTCTAACAAAGTGCACCCACACATATTATATATTGTTTTTTAGAGGACAGATAGGGCTATATATTTATATCACATATGTGTGTCTAACGCCTCACTTAGGACAAATACGAATTAAAAAAAAAGAGGAAAAAACATTAAAAAAAAAACTTTTTTTCCCAGTTTTGATTTGTAGTATTTTTTTTTTAACAAAACCAGCACAGCTAAAAAAAAAATGCAATACATACATTTGCCCCTTATTTTTAATTTTTTTACACTTTTCACTATTTTTTTTAATTTATTTACACTTTTCACTTTTTTTATACTGACAAATTTTATTTATTTAATTATATCAGGCAGTCATTGTGAATTAATCTCACTATTACTGCTTGATAAATTAATACATTTTTTTTATTATCAGGCTGCTTCAAACTTCAGAACAGCCGATAATAAGTTAGTGACACTGATCCTGCAGCAGTTCAGGATTCAGCTGTCAGTGAATGTTTCAGAAAACTTAAACATTCTACTTTCAAGAATAGATACATTATGTGTCTAATACATAACATTTTGTATCTATTCTTGAAAGTCAAAAGATAAAAAAAAAAAAAGCCAGTATAGCTTGAGAGAGATATCTCTCGATCTATACGAGCTGTCAGAATGCCGGCAAAAGCCGACATGTGTGTCTGCTTTGCTGTGACTCTCAGACACCCGATATTAAGGTATCGGGTGTCTGAAAAAGGTTAACCCTTTCAGTAATGGATCTCTAGATAGTTAGACATCTATTACTGAAAGGTAACCGCTGATTCTCAGCGGTTAGCAGCCTTCTAGTGCAGCAAATAACTCGTCACGTACAGTGTACGTGACGAGTCATTTGGTCCCTTTGTGGCTGGACGTACAGTGTACGTCTCCCGTCACGAAGGGGTTAAAAGGAGAACTATGGGGTCAGTGCTTTTCCCCATAGTTCTCACCAGGGTCACGGGAGGACATAAACTAGCGTCCTCCCGTGACCCAAAGCTCAGTATACCGCAAGCTACAGCTCGCGGTATACTGAGACAGCAGCAGCCGAGACGGATCCCGACATTACTGTCGAGATCCACCCAGCTGCGCGATTGTCAGCTGGCTCTGCCCATCTAGGAGGCAGAGCCAGCTGTACCCGCCCCCTCCCGTTACGACAGTCAGTGCTGGAGGATCGGAGCGGGAATCCCTGCAGGGACCTGTGAGTGACAGTCCCCGCTCTCTGCAGGGAGATGGTCAAGAAGTGAGCGAGCGACGGTATGTGTTCACGCACTGCCTGATCTATCGAGCCGACGCGTGACAGTTTCATTGTCACACGTCGGCTCGAACTATGAGGATGAGTGAAAAATCACTCTCCTAAATAGTTCCTCCATTAAACAGCAACCATCTTCCATAGTTTCCAACACGGACGTACCCCTCCAATACCCTACTAATGAGAGATATCTCTCGATCTATACGAGCTGTCAGAATGCCGGCAAAAGCCGACATGTGTGTCCGCTTTGCTGTGACTCTCAGACACCCGATATTAAGGTATCGGGTGTCTGAAAAAGGTTAACCCTTTCAGTAATGGATCTCTAGATAGTTAGACATCCATTACTGAAAGGTAACCGCTGATTCTCAGCAGTTAGCAGCCTTCTAGTGCAGCAAATAACTCGTCACGTAGTGTACGTGACGAGTCATTTGGTCCCTTTGTGGCTGGACGTACAGTGTACGTCTCCCGTCACGAAGGGGTTAAAAGGAGAACTATGGGGTCAGTGCTTTTCCCCATAGTTCTCACCAGGGTCACGGGAGGACATAAACTAGCGTCCTCCCGTGACCCAAAGCTCAGTATACCGCAAGCTACAGCTCGCGGTATACTGAGACAGCAGCAGCCGAGACGGATCCCGACATTACTGTCGAGATCCACCCAGCTGCGCGATTGTCAGCTGGCTCTGCCCATCTAGGAGGCAGAGCCAGCTGTACCCGCCCCCTCCCGTTACGACAGTCAGTGCTGGAGGATCGGAGCGGGAATCCCTGCAGGGACCTGTGAGTGACAGTCCCCGCTCTCTGCAGGGAGATGGTCAAGAAGTGAGCGAGCGACGGTATGTGTTCACGCACTGCCTGATCTATCGAGCCGACGCGTGACAGTTTCATTGTCACACGTCGGCTCGAACTATGAGGATGAGTGAAAAATCACTCTCCTAAATAGTTCCTCCATTAAACAGCAACCATCTTCCATAGTTTCCAACACGGACGTACCCCTCCAATACCCTACTAATGGTTAATAAAACCACCCACCATAGTGATTGGCCAATGGTAAGGCGCAAGAGATGGGAAAACACAAAGTGTTACTGGAACATAAACGCATCCCAGAAAATGGTTATCTATACACAAAATAGGAAAAGAAAAATAAGAATGTACCTCCTTATCCTTGAGCTGTTCTGCAAGACTGTGACTGGTCTCCCGTAACTCTTGCACAGTCTGTTTCTCATTCGACAGCTCACTTTCCTGTCTCTGGCAAAGGCCAGTCAGTCGCTGAACCTCACTCTCCGAGTTAGTCAGTCTCTGCTGTTGGGACTGCAGCTTAAATTCCGCAGTTCTAAAAATAAATAAAATGAAAGAGAATGATGCGATACATCACCTATTGTCTCCATAATTTCATTTATTTAAAACTCAACAAGCTCTTGTATATAGATGTTAAAGAGATTTAACAAGGGATTCTGCCTCCTACCAGTCTCAGGTCTGCAGTGATAAAAATCACAGGAACATCAAGCATTTGTATTATCAGTAATACTTGCATGGTTTTTCTTTTCCATAAAATATTTTTTTTGGACCTTTGAACTTGCTAGAAAATTTGACTACTTCAAGAAGGTTCAATTTCAGAGTACAGCCCCCTCCCTCCTTACATGGCATAGCCTTCTCGTATTCTGAGAGGGGCAATTGCGGTCTGTGTTGGTCCAGCTCCTCCTCCCCTTACCTTTCTACATTTTTATGTAGCAGCCGCAAAAGGAGTGAAGTGAATACTATAGAGCAGAGATAGGCAACCTTGGTACTCCAGCTGTTGAACTACAAGTCCCATAAGGCATTGTAAGACTGGCAGCCATAGGCATGACAGAGCTGGAGTGCTGAGGATGCCTACCTCTGCTATAGAGTCACATGAATGACAGCTATGAGTATGCCGATAGCATGTTCAAGATTAAGGCACTCAGAATTCATAAGGGAGGCATTAAAAAAAAAAAAACATCAACATGCCTAAAATGCGTTAAATACTTGTCATCTTGAGAAAAGCATGCTAAAATGAATGGTCTACCGAAAAGGTCTCTCTAAATCCTGGTGTCTTTGCTGTTGTCATGTAACAAGCTATTCAGCCAACTGGTGCTCACCAATGACATGCAAGTGTGGATCTATGCAGCTTTCCACTCTCAGCCCAGGATGCGTGATGATGCTCCCATAGAAGGTGGGTCATTGACAGCCAGGGCTCACAGGAAGTGGGTTGAAAGTCACTAGGCAATGCAACCCAGAAAAGGGCTGACGCTGGACAGTGGAACAGGACGCAGGAGTTGTGCTTTACACAGTTCCAGGCCACAAAAAGGAGTTAATTGATTTTTTTTTTTGGGGGGGAAGATGTATGAACTCAGCTGCTGCATTGATAACACACTGGGGGGTGCTTGCTCTGTTTAGAGGAAGGTTTTCTAGCAATCAAGGTAAGATATTCTCAAACATTGCACAGTTCCCCTAAAATTACCTTAGCCGTTCGCTGAGACCAGCATTCTCAATACTCATTGTCTCCACGTGCTTCTGGAGCTGCTCCTTGGTGCTCAGGAGACGAGCGTTCTCTCCGGAGAGGCATTGCACCTTTCCTTTGTAATTAGTCATCTTGTCCTTCATATCGTTCACCTGACCCTTTAAGTCCCAGGCGGCACGCTTCTTTGCGCCTGCTAGCGGAGCCGGGGCTAAACAGTAAATGGGGAATTCGGTATGAATTAGTAAAAGACAAAATCTACTGCGCATTCAACTAATTATACAGAAGCTAAAGAATCTGTGTGACCTAGCACTGGTCTTGCTTTCTCTATAAAGAAAAAGGAACAAAACTTTGTGTGGGTGTGGCAAACTCTGACCATCAGCCAAGGTGAGAACACAGTTGGCTAGACATTGACTTGTACACTTGTTGCACTACTAAGCAGGAAGCACAGCTCGCATACGTACTGAACAGCTATTACTCAGCACATTCTATAGATAGATACAGGATTTATTTTTAAGCATTGAGAATTCAAAGCAAACCTGCACTTCTCCCTTGCAGGGCACAGCAATGTGTGCGCTCTAATGTCATCCGTCCACTAACACATACTTACCTTCACTCCTCCCTGCCCTGTTCAGCTGCAGAAAGTGAGGATAGAAAGCTTTGCATAAACTCTAAATCACTGTGGGCAGAGCTTACACCGGGCAGATATTTCTCTCTCCATCCCAATGCGACAGTGCCCGGCCAATCATCAAGTACCAGCGCTGTCACATGAGGGGAGTGACTCGCATGCTCCTTCGTACCTGGAGATATTGGGTATTTTCTGTGTTCTCTGCAGCTAAACGGAATGGGGGTTAGGGGGAGAGCAGGAAAGGCGAGTATGTGCTAGTGGAAAGGGGGCATTAAATGGGAGTGTCTGGCTTCAATTCTTTAGACCCAGAATAACTGTAATTACGTGTCAGAATTCCTCATCTCTACACTTGTTGATACCAAGCATGAAAGCCAGACAACAATCAGGAGACATCAGCAATAGCACACTATACAAACACCTTCGCAATCTCAGTGTTGCAACATAACATTTTCCAGTGTCTGCATCCTTTTAGGCGAGGATGAACTTTAGAAAAAGAGTTCACCAAATATGCAATTTAATCGCAGGGAATGCTGCCAATTACACTGGCAGCTCTGTGCAGACTTCTAGGGAAAGCAGTGAGCAAATTGCTCAAGAAGGGCGATGTAGTCTGCTGTATAGCTACAGTGCACAAAATGCCTGGAGGCTGCCATTTAGAAATGTAAATTGAAATAGGTAAACTACAAACTGGCTAGTCTAGTATTAAGACACAGACACACACACTTTCCTGTTAAACTCTCAAGGCAAAGCACCTATATAAGGCTATGGCAGAAGAAACCATTTCAGGCATGTGTGTCATGCACTAGTAGTTAATGGCAGCTTCCATATCAGCCTTGTCACACAGGTGTTCTGCATAATTCCATAAGGATGCCCTTTGCACCTGTGTTTAGGCTTACCTGGTGCAGTCACTTTGGGTTTGGTTAGTGGAGCTGTAAAGCAAACAACATTTTGATCAGTTGGCCAGCATATAGATCACATAAAGCGGACTTGCCACCAAACAGACTTTCTTTAGATCAATGACACTATAGCAAGCATCTAAAATTGCTTATACATAGAACCATTTACTTAGCAAACAGAACACAGCAATAAAAACAACACTCGAAATATAACAAAGGTTGTTTGCATTTAATAAAACACCCATCACATCGCTTACCCGTAACATTTGCTCTGTTTCTTGGATTTATTACTGCCAAAGACTGCCGACCTGCAACACCAAATAAAAGATTATACAGTCAAGTAATTTTTTTTGTTTTAATTGGTACAATGTAAATATGAATTTGAGGCTGTTTGTGAAAAATAGAAAAGTTTCCAGTGGAAACCAATATTGGTTTCTAATATTGGAGTCAATAGACCTGGTGGTTGGGAGTTTTTTTTTATTTTTTTAAGGCTTTAAACTAGGGGTGCACCAATAGAGTATTTGGGGCGAGTACTCTTACTTGGCCAAATACTCCCGATGCTTACTCTGATACCGGAACTTGCGGTATCAGGAAGCTGGGCGGCGAGTCATTACCCGCCCCCCAGCCTCCTGATTGGCCAGAAAGCCAGCTCCGTGCTTCCTCGTCACCTGGTGACAAGGGAGCAAGGAGAAGGCTTCCCAGGTAATCAGGAACCTGGGCGGCGAGTCATTACACGCTGCCCGGCTTCCTTAAGACTTCCGGTATCGGTATTCAGTATCGGTGAATACCGGGAAAGAAAATATCGGTACTCTGTACCGAAAAACCGGTATCGGTGCATCCCTAGTTTAAACTATAAGTGTCATAGTTGACATTGTGATCCTATAATTGGGAACCAAAAATTGGGGTTTAGGATCATTAGGAGTGACTGAAACAGCCAGTGACAGCTCAGTTAAAAGTCAGCAGCCACATGCAGTCTTAGCAGGTAGCTGTACAAAAAAAAAGGACATATATTAACATATCCTCAGTCAGCACAGGGCATTGTACTAAAGAATGTTACTATACGGATTCCAGGTAACAAGGAGTTAAATAAGCCAACATGTTTTAAGCTTCCCAAGAACATAATAGAAATGTAATAAGCACATTGTGGATCGTATTCTAAGCAGACGTCAACCTACCGATTACTGGAGGTTTAGGGAAAGCCACTGCAGGAGCCACGCGGGGCCTGGTAGTGGCGATGCTTGCTGCCACCCGGACTTTCGGCAGCTCAGTTTCGGGGGATGAAGCTCTCAGGCGTTTCTGGGGGGACAAAAATATATTTGATTATTTTGCTTTGTCAGCAACTGCAATAAACGAGATATGAGTAAGCAGATGAATAATAGAGAATGCTTGAGCTAGAAGATTCAGTCCCAAGAAGGTCCACACAGCAAGCCTCACCTCTATGTTGGACAAGAATGGTCCATGGGGTGGTCAGTCCGGACCTGGGCTCAAGTACGAATAATCTAATGGCCCAGATCTCCATCAACAAGAATAACTCCTCACGAGTCTAATGGCCCTAATCAGGAGGAGAATCCAAGCTAGGAAGACAATTTGCCCCACTGGGTGAGGATAGACCTCTGGAGGGGCCTTGGTGTCTATAGGTGATGTCTTCTACCCATCAGCCCTAGAACCTAGCGTTAGTAAATGTACTTCTGTGACCCAAATAAGAAGTAAAGCCAGGAAAAGGTTTGTTTAAATGCCTCTAAGAAGGAATAGAACAGAGGTGGGCAACTCCGGCCCTTCGACTACAAGTACCATGAGGTATTCCAAGACTGACCGTTACAGGCATGGTTCTCAGCAATGGAGAATGGCAACCAGCAATAGAAGACTACAGATCCCATCAATCCATGATTATACAGGAATGGAGAATGGCAACCGGCTATAGAGGACTACAGATCCCATCAATCCATGATTATACAGGGCTGGGTGCCGGTCTATCCATGGCTGCGTAGGTTGGTTTCCCGGGCTGCCCAGGTGGGTGTGGGGCTGTGCCGGTCTTGGGAAAGGAGACGTGGGGCCGGACCGTTACTGTCAAAGACAGCTGCCTGAGGTCCCTAGGAAACGCGGGACCTCAGGCAGCCTCTCGTTTAAAAATGTAAAGTGCCAGTACCGGCCTTTAGTATCAGGGCAATTTCATGAGTACAAGTACTTGTGAAAATGCCCAATATTGGCCCCCTGATACAGATACTAGTATCGGTACATCCCTAATTAGAACCCCTGTCCCCATTATGAAGATTAATTCTCTATATTTGTCCCGGTGACCGTTATCACCCAAAGTAAAAGAAAATCCCAAAAATGTTATGTTGTCATCAGAATAGATGGGAAATCTTCCAATGGGGACACCAGTTCTGGCGACCACCAGGGATTCACCTGTCACTTCCTCTTGTAGCTACCAGACAGGAAGTAAAGGGAAATCTCCCCAATGGGACACAGCTGGCAAAAAAAAGCTACCCCCCAATCCATGCCAAGCACGCAGCCCACAAGGGAGAAGAAAAAACAGAAACATGAAACAAACCCCCAGGACCGGCTTTACCCTCGACATCTGCTCCTGGTTCTCGTCGCTCAGCTGCCTCTTCCTGGGTGGGACCGGGAGACGGGACATCCTGAGGGACTGCTGCTGCTGCTTCTTTTCTAATGAAGTCTCCATATTCAGAATCCTTCACGAAAACAAACAAAACATAAGATCCAGACCACAGGGGTCATATCATCCATATGAGTGATGTGTACACGGGCTGCTTTTCCTCTTTACCCACAATGACGGCAAATTCATCAAAACTAGAGCAGACACAATGTGGAGCGGTTGCCCATGGCAACCTGTCAGCTTCTAGCTTTCGTTTTTCAAAGCTTAACAAAACAAACTGAAGAGATGCCGATTGGTTGCTATAGGCAACTGCTCCAGGTTCTGTCTGATTCATTGCGGGGCAATCAAAACTGGAGCAGACAGAATCTGAAGCAGCTGCCCATAGCAACAAAACATCTATCAGTTAAGCTTTGAAAACACAAGCTAGAAGCTGACTGGTTGCCACATTCTATTTGCCTCAGTTTTGATAAACTCCTCCCATTGCGTTCTCAGGCAACAAAAAGCCCATTATCGCTAATTAGCGCAGTTTGTAGCGACGATGCAATCGCTATAGACGATAAGAAACGACTTATTGCAGCTACAGATGGCACTCGTGCTCCCGGCATATAAGCAAATTCCTGCCAGCCGGGAGTTTGTTTACATTTATAAAGTAGAAGTAGATTTGGGAAGCTGACAGGCCGCCCGATCACCTCTACATATGAGAGGAAATCCCTAAAGTCCCCATAAAGAGAACCTGTCACCTGCACTATGCCATCACACAGGGGGGGGGGGGGGGGGGGGG